TGGTTAAAGATGGGGAGAGCATCATCAAACCACCATTTATATATGGTTAAAAGATGGGGAGGGGGGAGGGGAGAAGGCATTTCACATTTATTTCCTGTTTTAAAGAATATAGCATCAAGCATGAACCATCCACAACTAAGCTTCTGTTGGTTTAGCTCCAAACAAGGATCATTTTCTATCAAGATCAGGTTGTAGGAATGAACCTGGCTTGGCTCCTTTGTTCTAACAAAAAAAAAAAAATCTAAACAAAGGATGTATTTGGCCCAGGTTTGTTTGTTTATTTATACAAATATATAAATATTTATTGGGTTTGTTTATTTGTATATATTCTGTTGCATCTACTTTCTTAAAAAAATCATAGCAACTACACAAAACCTTTCAGAAGTGATGCTTAATAAGAATCATTCTTTAACAACCCCCTATTCTCTGGCAACTGATATATTCCAGCATGAATTATACTCTGCGAGCAAATGAACACAATACAGAAGATATTTGGGAGCCCCTTTTCTTTCTCATTTTTCCTTAGCCCTGATGCATCTGCGCCAATAATCAGGGGCGGGTCACAAATACATGCCTCAGAATCAGACGAACAAGGGGGGAATCCTCCTCCCGCCCCCCACCCCCCATCATCCTCCCACTATCTACTTACTGCAGGGCACACCTCGCTCTCGGAAGGAGGTTCACGTCGGATTGCGCAAAAAAGCTGGTTTTTACCCCCCCGGTGGTGCTGAATGGACAGCGCCTCGCTCCTCAGCCGGCTGGTTCCAAACGCTACTGAAAGAGGATCAAGGAGTGAGCGCAGAGACAGCCGCTCGAGTCTGCGGCAGGCAAACACTCCCAAGCTGGGGCGGCGGCTTCCGTGCGGGATCTGGCACCACCTGCTGTCGCCCAGGGCGGCCACAAGCACTAGCAAAGAGAAAAGAAGACGGTGTTTATCTACAACGCCACCTACAGTCTGCTCAGAGAACAGCAGGCGACATTCCCGCTCAGCCTGGCCTGCTGGTTTCCAACAGCATGGTAAGAGTTCTGGGTCTGTGCTGAGTCTAACTCCCATCTGCTGTGATGTCATTGACAGAGAGGTAGCGATTTCAGGAATTAGAGCAGATGTAGCTACAGCAGGCGGAGCTGTGTTGCCAAGAAATCCTAAGCAGGAATTTTCAACACAGCTCACTATTCTTGGAAAAAAGCATCCACTGGAAGCTGAGGAGCATGGCAACAACTGGGCTCTAAGAATAGGCATCCAAATATGGATAAATGGTAAATTAGCATCATGCATATACTGATACAATTCTAAGCATCCAGGCCAGAGCAATGCACCTATTGAATTCAACTTACTTTCAAGCAATACACATGCTTAAGATCAGACCATAAAGATTAGCTGATCTTTAAAACAAGAAATGGCCTCCTTTCAGCCTGCCAGTAAAAAAAGTCTATAATACAGTCAGTGAAATAGACATAAGGATATCAAGGATTATATTTTCTCCAGCATAACATTCACTCTACGTATCCATATATCTTATTGAGTTGCAGTTCTTCCTAATGCCAGCTTAATCATTGATCAGTACTCACAGTTAAATTTCAACCCTATTTTCTTGAGGGAAACGTTTGACAAAGGAAGCAAGTTTCATTTCCAACTTTTGGTGAGAAACAGCCTCTTGTTCTTCCATTTAGCAGCATAGAACTCCAGAAAGCTGGCGCACCAGCACTACATTAGATATCAAATTTTCCTTCACTACTGTCATGCTTTTTGTTTGTACGGTTGAGAATTCTCTCAAAGGAAGATAGAATATAGGAAAGAAAGTTTGCATGTTTTTGCCAATATTTATAGTGGTTTGGAATGACTCCCTCCCAGCATTTATTATATAGAAAACAAAGTCTTTGTTGTCAGACTGAATAACTGAAGACTCACTGTCACATGGGAAAGGATTTCAGTGATCCAAGTCTCTTTGACTGGTCTCAATATTGTCTGGTATATAATTTGATTATGCTAAACTAATGAACAGAAGAAAAATATAGATGTGTACAATTATATAAACTTGCAATTAATAATAATTGTTGCTCTGGAGTTGGGTGGCACCAAAAGTGAATAATAATAATGGGGGAGAGGGAGGTTGAGATAATAATA